GCATCATTCAGTCTAGACGTTTTTAAAGAAACTTTAACTTCATTCATATCAGTAATCATGTTTGTTGTGGTTTGTATTCATGCAATCAGCGTTTGTTCTCTCAATGCAGTTTTGATGCCCATCGCTTCCCCATCAAACATCGTCCCCCATCCCACTATAAATCCTTGCACTCTTTCTCTTTCTTTTCCCTGCACATGTTATACTTTATATATATTTATATTTATTTATATGAATTATAATATTGTCAGTACTGATCCAAAGCTGCTGTTATGTCTACAAGGAGACGGATTTACATAAGTACTATGTACTTGTTTCTGGATCCTTTTCTGTATTTATAACCATGTACTATTGTAATTAAACATCAATAAAATAAAGTTTAAACTAAACAGTCTTTTTTCCCGGTCAGAGCGAACTGTTACCCGGCGCGAATTCGATGCGCAGAAATCCCCCCTCGAGAGACCCGTCCAAGCGTTTCGGTGACTGCGACTCAGTGTTGCTCACGCAGACAAAGCAATGGCGAGTAGGTTTAATACTAATATGTATTTGGTAATAAAACAATTGTTTCAATGCTATTTGGGGAACAGTCAAAACTACCATCCCTAGCGGCCTCGGTCAAACGGTTCCCAAGGGCTTCCCCCTACCTCGGGATGATAGTTTTGACTGTTCCTCAAATAGCCATGAAACAAATGTATACTATCGAAAAATATATTTTTGTATAATTTTTAGTACTTTTGGGTATGACTGCACAGTGGACCACATCTTTACTCAAGGATTAAAAAAATATAATCATAATTTTTAGAGTGTAATAAAAATGTATTGCTAATTTAAGTACTGTTATTGAATAACGAAAGAGGCAAAAAAAACCAATTCGATACGATACACAAGAAAGTATCGTGATACGATACAAAACGATATATCGTCGAGCCCTAGACTATTTCACTATCATCCGTTTATAGATTTATCGTTAAATTATCTAGGTCACTAGTTAAACTCACGAAAGACATATTTCTATCAAGTCCTTACCCGAATTCGCCGAGTTTCCCCTTAATATCCCCTAATCAATCAAAATGCTAATTTTGTATTCGTGAGTCGACCAACTGTCATTTCCAATGCCTCATGTCATCTATTTGATTTTTTTTCTACGAACTGGCGGCTACTGCTGACATATTGCTGGCTCCTTAACGGAGCCGTGATTTTCGCACGTGAGATGTGGACATGTTAGCTTAATTTTATAAAACGTCTGAGCAAAATGTCCTTTTTCATTCTGCTGTAATTGGAATTCCTTTTTCAACAAAACAGATATTTTTTATTTTCTTCACGTTTTCTGCGTTTCACCAAAAATCAAAAAGTTTGTTTAGAAATGGAAAGTATTTTTAAGATGAAGTCTCATTTTGTTCCTTCTAAATTACCGTCGAAATTGGAGATATTAAATATAATAAGTTTGAGCAAGTTCCAGTATGTCATTTTCAAATGATAATGTCGTAAACTTCAAGAATTAACTCTTAATTATGTTTAATATCCTTTATATGCCAGTTACATTGATTTGACTTGTGAAGTGCACACATAACATATTTAACTATCCATAACTCGAGCACCCTGTGTGTGATTCATCGCTTGCATTTTACATCATGACATACTTATACCTGTGTTTTACGTCATCACATATATATACATGTGCATTACGTCATCACATATGTATATATGTGCGTTACGTCATCACATATGTATACACGTGCGCTACGTCATAACATATGTATAAGAGAATGTGTATGACATCATCAAAATGAGTATACCATTACCACACGGCACTGTAGTATTATGTCAACAATGTGTATTTTATTTATAGTACGAAATAATTACGTCACATTCATTGTACGTGTATGTGTAATACGTCATCAGAAATGAGTCGTGTAATACAAACATGTGCATTACATCAGAATCCCGACTTTCAGACTAACCAGTCTTTCTTGGCCATTCTTGTAATTATGACATTATTGGGTATCGCTGTCACGCGTAACGTAATGGGGCGTTTCACAGAACGCGCACGCGGAAGTGAGCGACCTCATATGACCTTGACCTTAATTCTCTTGATAAAAAAAGTCTGCAAAACCGCTAATGAAAGCGACAGTCCTTATCAAGGTTTCAACCGGGTGAAAACAACTCTACACGGTACATGATTTGCCTAATGAGATTTCTTTCGGATTTCAGTTTAAGTCTATATCGATGTACGTGTATCAATTAATTTCAACAGATCAGAAAGTAGAGGATGGAATTTGCAGGTTAGAATTGTCCCCTTAAACATATCCCTAAAACGGATATTTAAGCATTGCATTTTGTTGATATGACATTTACGGTCAAAATGAATGCCACATGTTTGCAGGCAAGCATCGTAATGAGAGTTAATGCAAATCAAATTAAAAAACTTTTTGCAGGAACTCCATTGATGAGGATGTGAAGAACCTTTTGTTGGTAGTTGTCGTGACGTCATAATATTTTCATGTAAAACGCGTTGGCAACGCCATTGACAATAAGTTTTGTCACTTCAAATAAAAGATGTTTTAATAAATTTAATATATAGAACAATTATTGTTTCTTGTTAAAATTCAGTCGTTTTACTTTATATGATAAATAATGTTCATGATCTAACATGTATTTTTTCGTGTCATCAAATAGAGGGCGCAAAAGCAAATCTTCAAGTCTGCAGGGGCTTCCCACATAAAAGTCGCCTCTTACGGTACATGCAGTGGGTAACAGCACGTGTATTCTTTACTCAATGCCCGACCTGCAGGGGTGACCAGGGGAAATAAACTAGCCTGTCAAAATTCTTTAAAACCATGTTTTTCCTTTCCATGCCTTTTTATTTTCGAACCTATGACTCAGAAGTTTTGCAACATCTGCCCACTTCCCTCTTTCAGAACAGTCTTGGGAACACCCAATGTTAGGAACACGTGATAAACAAACCAAGGAAGAATTATTCTACGTGTAGAAATTAGGTCAAAGCGACGGAGATTGTATAACAAATCAATTCTACAAAATGCCAATTTGCTGTCTGTCGAAAGTCCACCATGTGTTATGCACAGATTTACCACGCAAATATTTGGTCATATTTTGTTCAAATGTCAAGAGCTCACGTTACCAAGATCCATAAAACATTGTAAATGTCAAGCGTTTAGATGACCAGGATTTTAGCATCAGTGCGAGTGTCATTTCAAACCATCAGTGTATGCTCTATGCAAACGTGGGAATGATAAATTAAATTGGTTTTTTTATCTGTATAAACCTTTAACTTGTCAATATATAAACACACTTCGAAAGTTCCAAATGAAGTAAATTCAGGTTGAGAGTATTTCGTAAAATGCTTTCTGCCGTAAAAATGGTAAAATAGCATACATATACCTAACAAATGATTACTTAAGGACTATGATAACTAGTAAAGCATCTCACAGTCCGTTAGAAAAAGAGAATGTGTAAAAAAAATTGCTTCACTTTCTTTCAGTTCTGTTAATTAATAAGATAAATTGTTGCTAATTTGCTAATTTTTCATCATTATTCATGTCCGCTTCCGATGATATCGACCGCTTCCGGGTCAAATATTAGGAAAACCAAGAGTCAGTCCGAACCTGCGGTCCGTTTTCAAAATTCAGAATATTTGCTTTGGTCATCTGCGGAAAACACATACATAGAAAATAAACTAGAAAAAGAATGACGGACTAGACGATCTTAAAAATAAAAATCAATGAACAGAACACAAGATCGATTAATGGAAATTGACACTGGTGACAGATTCTACATGAGCGTTTGACGTTAGTTTGAATAAGAACAACGCAGGAAGGAAAAAGATTGAAATATTTTTTAAGGTTGTGTTTGTAATGAATGCACCATGAGATATGAATGTGCACGATAAAAATGTTATAGTATCGTTGTTCTCCCATCAAACTTCAGATTTGCCCTCGAGTAATATATCAGGCCTACATGATTTCGACCCTCGTGCCTGGAGTAGAAATAGGGAGCCCAGATATGTCCGACATGAAAGCCGTCAAAATATATCCTCTTAATTTATTATAGATAAAATTATGAAATACTGTTTCACAACATGTATGAATCATTAATGTTGGCCCGGATATTAGCACGCGGGGTTCTTAGTGTGAGAGGAAACCGGAGTACTCGAAGAAAACCTAAGTGATTGTGCAGGTGACCACCTACTTTTCACGTCCGATCGGGGAATCGAATTCCGGCCGCCTTGGTGAAAGGCGAGTGCGTTATTCACTGCGCGACTTGATCATGACCACATATGTTATATATTTAATATATTTGTCTCGCGTTTGGAAGGTTTAGAGCGTCTATTGACAGTCTTTGTGATTCCGCATTAAACTTGATATTTTTATTTCTCTCTTTGTGAAAATCCATTATTAAATGTCACGCGGTATGACTAAGTTTATTAAATTTTCATATTTCGAAAAAGTATGACGTTGGGTTCTAGATTTACGAGTAAATAACAGATTCAATTTTAAATGTTAACAGAGGGAAAATGCCGAAGCGATACTCATTTCCATGGGAATGTCCGCATTGTCTAGAATGCATGCCCGTGCATAAATATCGCATTATGTTTTTGCAGAAATACATTCGTCAATAAACAATGCGACTTGCGAATATATCGCAATTTCATTTTAAATTCATTTATCTATATATCATAGATCTATAATTTAATTCAGTCTGAGAGATTTATGTCTGCTCAAATATATGTGTGTATACACCTTACCGGCAAGTAAGCGATATTTTTTTAACTTTCAATTTAGGAATATTATATACAAATATGACTTTCGTTATAAGTATATTATAAGCCAATAATATCATGAGTTATCAGATCAATGTGATCGATGTATTTCTACTTTCGTTTTAGGCATATTATACACCATAACATGATAAATCGAATCAAGGCGGTTGATTTATTTCTACTTATATTTATATATATAAAGATATGTTTTGTTTTCGTGTTTCAGGCTGTGCATTCCTCACATATTGCAGTAGAGACAGTGCTCTGAATGCCCAGCAGGCGTTACACGAACAAAAAACATTACCAGGGGTAAGTCCAATTAATTAACTTAAACATCAATTAATTCATTTCTTTTTACATCATCTTTTGTTTTTGCATTCATTCTTTTCCACGGAAGAAACGGAGGTCAACACATCTCCTACCATCCTGGATGCCATCTTTATTGATGTTATCATGATTAAACATTTCAACATATCACTGTCAGTGATGTGTACGTCGCCAGAATTATCCCGTTGTCACAAAACTTCATCGATTTGGTCTCCAATGCATATCTTCTTCTGATTGCGTCAGGTTTGATATTTGACTAAAGTTTCATCTATGACAATACACCAGAGATTGTATGTAGATTATTCGAAGAAGAATTACATAATAATTCTTGAAGTTTGTGTTTTAAGTGTCCCCTCTATTGAGGACGATATGGCCTCGTTTTGGATGAGGAATGCAACAGCAACTGAGAAGAAAAGGAAAATACTTACCGATTTTTATCGTGAGGGTTAAGTTTTAGAAAGAAAAGGAGATTATAACGGAAAAAACGTCTAAACGGCATTCAAACAACCCGATCGCATTTAGTGAAGTTACAGCTTTCAAAGTAAAATGAATCCTCAAAACAAATCAAAATAATCTGTCTTAACAAATCCATAGCAATTCATGCATATCAGATGTTCTAGAATTGCTTGTATCTATATTTGTAATTCCTTATCATGCGGCCAACTTTACACGCAACTGTGGCAGCGTGCGATTTGGTTCCATACCGGTATCCGTCTGTTCTGTCAATTTGATTAGACGCGTTTTTCCCTTTACTTTTCATTTTTATTAGACGTGCCTAAGAATTAGACATGAACTTTTCTATGCTCTTGAGTTTAATCAGAGGCGTCTCTCTTACTATTCAATTTAATAGGTCGCGCCTTTTTCCATTTATCAGACGCATCTTTCTTTTTCTATTCAGTATAATAAGACCCGTCTTTTGATTAGACATGTACTTTTCTATTCTCTTGAGTGGTTTTAAAAGCGTCATTCCCTTTCTATTCTGTTTGATAAGAATAGCCTCTTTCCATTGATCTATTCAGTATAATAAGACGTGTCTTTTTTATTAGACACGTCTTTTATTGTTGTGCTTAATTTTATTAGACGCATATTCTCCTATTAATAAGAGGCGTCTGTTGTTTTATTCGGCAAACGTTTTGCTTTATCTTCAAACACGATATTTCAAATTGTCAAGCAAATGTTTAGTCTGCCTGATGGGAATTGCGAAACTATTACTTTCGCGCGCCATTAAGCTTCTACAGCGAGGCAAGCGGCCTGAAAAACCCAAATTATAAAGAGATCTAGAAGTGCTCAAATTCAGCATGACTCTTCTGCTCCAGGAGCTGTTATCAGCTTTTCAGTAATGTCTGATCAAGCTGATACATGCATTTTGTAACACGACTAAGAAGTAGGACGAACTGCCGCGTTAACGCAGAAATACAGGACAAAATTGTGTGAACATGCCCAAGTAATACAATATATCAGTTGGGATGTCTAGAGTGTCTGCAGATACCGAAGACGTTCGGATAGTATTTCATTATGGTCGCCGTACCACTGCCAACAAATGGATTTTTATTCTATTTTCCTTATTTTTTTCTCTTTTTTTTTTTCGGCGTTAGTGAAGTTTTGATAAAGCATTTCTGAAATGAAATCCATACTTTGCGGCAAATTTATAAAAAAAAAATAAGGATGGAATAAACAGAAAATAAATATGAACATATGCGTTTTGTCTGTAAAAATAATACAACGGTGCTAAACCAGTGCTCGTATTCATGAAACCGTATTCATGCTCAAGCATGGATTCTGTTCTCAAACCAACTTTCTTGTAACTCACTTAAATCATGTCAAACGATCAAAAAGTCGAATGCAACTAATGAAAACAGTATTCGGCTTTATGTCTCTTCAAGTTTTTTTCCCAAATAATCTATAACCGGAACAAACAATTAGGCTTGAGCACAAAATCCGTGCTTGAGCATGAGAAAGATTTGATGAATACGGGCACTGGATTCGAACCATGGACCTCTGATTATGATAGAGTCTTTCTACCCAACTTAGCTATCTTTTACAGTGAGGTTAAATAAAGTACCAATATTGTTGTTGTACGTCGGAAATCGAGGTTCTATCATCAAGATAGCCCAAACACGTCTGGGCGCTATATAATATAAACTTCATTTATTTTTACAACAAATTATGAAAACAAAAAATCCAATCGGAATAAGATCCTAAAATACGTACTTGACAGAATCGTTTTCCCCTCAGATGGTGTACTTTTCATATGTTCTATTGGTGTTGCGATACAATTTTTTTTTAAATTAAAAGCGATGAGAATTAAAATAAGGTACGGACAAAGGGATTTCCCTTTTTTAAACCTTACTCATAACGTTAAGCGTGGCATTGGTACTGAAGGGAATTAGCTTACAACATATTCGCTGCGAAATGCTTGAGTTCATTCCTGATGGTACAGAAATGGCTATTATTTCAGTTAACACATAATGTATCATAAACCGGTGTTAGCGCTGACTCGATGCTATATTTACCAGAACGAACCAGGTAACTCGATCAGAACGCCGGAATAAATCTTTCAACAGACAGGGGGTCATTGTCAGAACGTAACACGAGAAACATCACATTCTTCTGTGTTCGTGGGAGTAGGTCGGTCGAATTGGGAGCGATCCAAATCGACTGAAGCGCAGATCAATCTGTATCAGTAACGAATGCTATCCTAGTCTTACTTTTACTTTTTTTTTTTAATATTCCACTGACCATCCTAAGTCTGTTTTTTTTTGTAAAGATCCAAGTGCTATCAATATGGCCTAAATATAGCGGCTATGTGCTCGGTTGGTGCAACGGATAGCGCACCAGAATCGAAGCAAGGCCCGTTAGGGTTCGATTTCCCGATCTGACGTAAAACGAAATTCGAGGTCACCACCCGGCCACGATAAGTGTTTCCAGATCAAAGCCCATTTGCGCTGCTTAAGAGTTTAAAATATAATGAGTTTGATTTTAATTTATTAACATTAAAACCTTACTCCTTTAAGAAAAAGCTATTGCATGTTGACTTGGGTAAAATACATTATATTTGTATAAATAAAAAAGCCAGTCAGAGCTATGTGAATGTGTTACATGTAATAAAACGTGTTTGTTGGCCCAAAGAGAAGTACATGTACTAACTTAAATAATGTGTTTCTGCTACTGCCTTTACCGTTATTAGTGTATTCTATCTCATAGCAAGACATGTCACACAAAATAGATAATCCCGGATCAAACATTAAATACGAAGGGAGATAACCCGTGCATTTCGAGAGACATAAAGGGAGATAATCCGGCCGCGCGGGTGGTCCCAATGAATACGAAACAATTGACTTTTCCCTAATAGTCTCTCATCTTTTATTCATGCAGTGTGGTTGTCTTGGCTCGGTCGTAGAGCATAATGTGACGGCGCTTATCGATTATAGCTACGAAGGTTATGCCGTATCTGGGTCGCTACAGTGTTTTTCTCAATGAAATCGTTTTCATTCATACGCTCTGTGCATCGATTATTTGATTATAACACCGTAAAATGTTGACGGGACACTTCTTGACGTACACAGCAGAAATCAAGGTTATTTCATATGTACATTCAATGAAAAGATCTATTTCTTCTTATGGTCGCAGAATATGTTCTTTTTCTGTCTTGTCCTTTGGAGGGAGTAAAGAAACTGATATTGATCTGATATCAGATTGAAACAACTGAAATTGTTAAAAAAAAAAAATTGTCCGGAATTTTTTTTCTGCAATTTTTTAGTCTTTTTGTCTGTCCCTCTCACCACCTTCCATAACCTAATACTTAATCGTTTGTTCCGGTTAGACCAAACAGTGTTGATGAAACATTAAGACTTTTAGAGTAGTAAAAAGTATCACAGGTGAGGGGATTTTTACAAATAGTTGAATTGTAGTATATTTTTGTTTTAATTTCGATCCAAGGGTATCTTTAAGCGATATAATTCTTAAAGTCGATTTATATACCCGAAAGATATCCCTCGAAAATGTATAAAACATATATCAATGTCCCTTTCTTGGTAAATGTGTGTGGCCACTATATCCTATAGCATCAGTGACGTAATTTAAATAAGATAACGTTCATAGAAATACATCAAGGGAGATAACTCTAACACAAATCACATGCACGTCAATGGTATAAGGTAGCTTACACCTTTAAATATTCATGATTTTTTTTCAAAGAAAATTTCGAGTTACTGACATGTTTGTCAGATAAATGTACAAACATAAATACAAAAAACAACTAGTAACACCTCGTTATATTGCTACCATTTGTCAAAAAACAATTCGACAGCTTAAAGAGATTTATCTTATTTATTTAGCGATTTATCAAAGATGGCTCTACAAATTGAAGAAAAACGAAAGTATGGACTTTGAAAATTGCGGCCATCGTCTAGATGCAATGACCTTTTTCATAAAGAGGCTTTGCTGTTTATTGATTTGCATAAATTTTCTTCAACTGATCATCGTTAGATATCGTTACAACAATTATACAATATTTAAATTTACACACCCGCCCTTTATCGGCAGTAAATATTTTGAAAAATGGAAACTTTAATAGCTTTATTTATCAAAGATTTTCTAAATTGTCGATTGATAACACCAATTACAATTAAGTTTCGGTGTTCGGGTGGAGCAGTGGTTAGCGCACTTGCCTTTCACCAAGGCGGCCGGGATTCGATTCCCCGATCGGATGTGAAAAGGTATGCGGTCACCTGTCCGATATTGTGGGTTTACTCCGGGTTCTCTTGTTTCCTCCCACAGTAAGACCCCCGTTGAAGTAAGTTGAAGAGTAGTCGTGAGTCCCCGTCGTAAAGTCCACATGTAGTTAATACAACGTTAATGTCTCACTATTAATACATTAATCAAACTAAAACGTAAACTTTGTTTGTTTACGAATGTATCCATGGTTTACATCTTTGTTCGGGAAACATATGTGAAGTTTTGTTTTTACTGTAGATTTGTGG